CCCCATCTCTCACACTCTGGGGCTTGTATGCTAAGATGCTTAGAGCTGTTCCCTGCACACAGGATACTTCTTGTTTCTGGACCAAGGTAAAGGTATGCACTTGACCTGGGCTGCCCTTCCCTCGCCCCTTCACCTGACTCTGGCACACCCATGAAGCCTAGCTGGGGTGCTACCACTGCAGTGGGCGGAGCTCCACGGTATCACTCCCTACACTGTGCACAGCTCTGAGCTGTCCATGATGGGTCCTAAGGCAGGATCATGTCTCAGTGCCCAGGCCAGGGCCTGCCCACAGCAGAGGCTGGATAAGTGCTGGGATGAATGAACACACCCTTAAAGAAGAGGCCTCCCCACTGGCTGTTGAGGGCCCCAGTCTGGGATCTGAAGCAGAGACAAGGACCTAGGATGCAGGAGAGCCCACCCCTACCCCAGTCTAGGGAGTCCTCACAGTTCCCACTTAACACTCCACATCAATGACAAACATTCCAGAAGAACCTGGCATGCAGGCCTTTGTGGAGAGAATGCAGTGTGGTTGGGGTTACCTAAAATGCCACTCCTGGGCATGGGCACATTCCATAAAGGAGAAGGCTTTTAATGTAAATGAATGTGAAACTGGCAATGGTCAACCAGGGCTGACTGATTCGGCAGTGCACAGTTGGTTTTTCTTGGAAACCAAAATGCTGTAATAGCATAAAAGCTCCCATCGAGAGGCCACAGTCATTATCTTACATCAAGCTACGCTCTTCCTGCTTGTTTGCCCTTGGCCATGTAGCTGCAGCCCTACGAAAATGGATGTCTGCTGAAAGGACGTCCAAGAGATGATCAGTGGCCTCTTCTTGACCCTTTTGTGTGCCTTTAGCTCCATCACTCACCCCAGCCTCCTGGGTGCTAGCAAGTCTGTGGGACCCCTTGAATGATATATTTAAGGTTCTGTTTTTCCTAAGAGCTTTTATTTTATTTAACTTCCATTTTTTTTTCGTTGTACATGTTTTGGGGTAGAGTTTGTTGTTTCAATGCATACCTAGAGCACATCTCATAACTTTTAATATCAGAGAGACTCAGAAAGGATAGCAGGGAGCTGGTGTCAGAAGTGGTGACAGGAAAAGCACCAGCCACGTCTGACATCAGGTAGTGAATTTATATTATTTTATTTTACTTTATTGTGGTAAGAACACTTCACATGTGATCTACCCT